ATTTTTGTAGAGTTCGCTGTATATCAGCGATTTCAGGATTTTTTCATCTTTTTCTTGGTTCATTTTGTCTGTTGTTTATTGTTGTATTATATTTTGGCATATTTATATAATTTTACTGAATTACCAAATATGGATTCCATATTTAGTAATTCAATTTACTATTTCAAACAACAAAATTTTATTAATTTTAGATATTACATAATTATCAATAATTTGCTAATTTTAAAAAAGTTTCCCTGTCAAGTGATTCGTATTGTATATCATTTTTTATCGAATCTGGAATTTTTAATCGAAATTCTTTGGTTTGATTGATATTTCTATTCCACCATTCATTTACATTTTTAAAAATTTCTTTTTGATCTTTTTTAATTTCATATAGTAAATTTAAATATATACTTCTTAGTTCGTTATCAGCTTTTTTTCGGTGTCTTATTTTATTATTTTCTGTGTATTTTTTTAGTAACTTGTGAGCTTCTTCATAATCTTTTTGAGTCCACTTTTTTCCTTCATATAATTTTTCCACTTGTAACAGATACCAGTAGTATTTTTCTTCTGTTAATTCATCACAGAGGTTGGGGTTTTTCAACTTCGTATCAAGTATTTGATACAACATTGAATGTTCAAAATTTTTTTCTAATTTTTCAGTTAAATCTTTAAGTTTTTGTAAGTTTTTTTCATCCATTTTTTATTTTCAATGAACGTATGGATATTATATATTTAACTAAATTACCAAATATAGATTATCTACATTTAGCAATTTCGATCATCATTTGTTATTTAAACATTAATTTTAAACACAAAAAAATAAACTGTTAAAATGTCAAGTTTATCGAAAGAAAATGCAGATGTTATCATCAAAACTGATCCAGAGATACGTGCGCATTCTCAAATTTTAAGCGCTTGTTCTGAATATTTTCGTACTTTATTATCGTCAACTTGGGCTAAGAAGGACAAAGAGGGAATGTTCGTTATTGAATCTAATCAGAAACAAGCTGTAATGAGTATTATTGTAACTTATCTTTATTCTGATACATTACTCGAAATTGATAATGTCGAATTGACAATTGAATTGTTGAAGGAAAGTGATAAATTCTTGTTAAATGATTTGTCAAGCAAAATATATGAGCATTTGAAAATTACCATTACCACTTTCTCAAGTGAGGAAATTGTCATGTTGGTTGAACTTTTGTTCAAATGTGAGTCTTTATATCACATATTTGAATCAACATTAAATTATATAATGCATGATATTGAAAAGCTTGTATTTGATACTGGTGTAAAATTTAGTAATGAGACATTTAAATTATTGTTGAAAAGAGATGATTTGGGAGTGACGGAGAAGGAGTTGCTCTGGATAATTAATAAGAATAATTATGATATTGATCTAGGAGAACTTCGCTTGCATCAACTGGTAAGAGAAAATATCGTAGAATTATTATGGAACGAATATAATCTTTCTAATAATCGGCATCTTTTGAAGGATGTGATTAGTAAAAAACTGGATTTGGGTTACGTTCCTAAATACGATTTAGGATGGATTAGATATTCGAATATCGATAATGTGTCATCATTTCTTACATGTTCTTGCATTGATAATTTAAATAAAATCTTTAATAATCCGTTAACCCGATACAAATTAATTTTTTCCACAATACGAGGTCAAGATTCTTTGATTGGACGAGATCTCTATGATGTGGTTGAGGATAGGGAATCATTGCTGATTGTTGGGGAAGATAATTATTGTTTATATGGTGGTTACAATGCAGGATATTGGAAATGTGGTGAGAAAACTAAAATTTTAGATAGCTTTATATTTTCACGTGAATATTGTATTTTTTCAGATAATGATTTTAAGGTTGAAAAACAAAAAAATGAATTATTTGTTAGTGTGCGTGGTGATAAAGGTCCCAATTTTGGTATTAACAATTTGTGTATGAATGGGTTTAATTGGGAATTCCTTAAGTTATCATCATATAAACCAGATCTAATTAAACAGAGGTCTTGTATTGATATTAGTGAACGTACACTCAAATGGATCGAAATTTACCAAATTCAAACATAATTTTCGTATTTTTGTATTAAATTTTATTAAATTTTTAAAAATAAATATTTACAAATAAAATTAAAATTAAAAATTATATAAATGTATAATCTCTATAATGTATTGCGATATAATACATAAATTCTCTGCATTTAAACCATTCTGGGGTGCTTGTATCATCCTATTCTCCCTCACTTTCTCTTTCAATTTTAAAAAATTTTTCGTTATCAAACCTTGTTGGTTTGATTTTTCTTTGGTATATTTTACCAATAGGGTCCGGGTTTTGTACGATTATTTTCACAACTCTTTTGACAGTTGGGCTTCTTTTGCAGATGGAGGCTAGTTCTGCATGATACTCTTCTTTAATTAAGTTCAGGTAAGAGTATCCAGGAACATCCGGAGAGACCAAGGTTTCTTTCATTATTTCAAAATTTTCTTCGTTTAATTTTTTTTTAAAAACAAAGAAAGATAAAGTGATTTTACGTAAGAAGGAAGGCATTTATAATTTTATATATTTTCAGTTGCTATTTTTAGTTCAGAATTTGCATTGCATGCATGATTTTATAGGGATTTTTCCAATGTTTCAAAATCATTTTGTAAATGTTCTTTTAATGAAAAAGAGACTTAGTACGAGATGTAAATTAGTTTTATCTTATAAATATCAGCTGATCTCTATGAGAAATTCAGTTGATCTCGTGAGAAATTTCGGTGTTGATCGTGTGAGAAATTTATAGTCAGGAGTTAGGTTGGATGTTTCGGAAAACAGGTTTTCTGATTCGGAGAAAGTGTGTCGATCATTGATGATCTACATTCGATTCTTCAATTGGCAATTTTATTTCATTGGTCCTTGAAAGCGTGTGATAGTTTATCCGTTTATCTTTAAATTGAACATTTTCTGGTCAATTTCTATTTGAAAAATGTACAAGTGTATTAAGAATAATACTTCAGAAACAATTATGAACAATCCTAAACTCAAGAAGAAATCCTACAAAGAGGTGAAGGAGGATTTTTCCATTGAAACTTCCAATACGATCTTGAACAACACTTATGTTGAGAACATTAAAAGGCAATCAAAAAAGAGAAGAACTGTTGATTATTATAAGAAGCTTTATCGAAAAACTCGATCAGAATTGAAGGCGGCGTCTGATTACTACGGAAGGTCATGGTTAGCGTTCCAAGAATTCCGTAAATCCAACGAGGAAAAACACGTTCGAGATGATGATGAAAATGTTGTTGAAGACAAATCTTTGAATCAAGATGAATCTTCTGACGGGTTTGAAGTTGAAAATGTGGTTGAAGATGAATCTTTGAATCAAGATGAATCTTCTGAAGTTAAAAATTTATCTTCAAACAATCTTATTATTGAAGAAGAGGATGATATACAATTCGATCGATACATCGAAGGAGAAGCATTATCTGATACACTTTGTCCTCCTCTTTCTATTGAAAATTTGTTGGATGATGAAGTCAATTCCACTACCGTCTCTCCTGATGTGGTGGATGTTGTGGATGTTGATTCTACAGATGTGGTGGATGTTAATTATATTCCCTTGAAAGATGATGGTTTGGGATCGTTGGGAATTTATGTGCCTTACGATATGTTTCTTCAGAATCCATATTATAACAATTACTTGTATTTTAACGATGTTTTGTATGATGATGATAATTTATTATAGATTTTTATGTTTACAAAGTGCTAGAATCATGTGATTCTTGTTCTTTTTGAACGTAAAAATTTATTTTATTTTCAATTTATTTTATTTCTGTAATAAAGTATTTTTTGTTAAAAATGATTTCTAAAAGAATGCTAAACAATAAAAATGCTAAGGCTATTCCTAATTTCTTAAAAATTTCATTGTTTGTTTTGGTCTTCATCACGGTTTCGTAAAGTTCTTTGAATGATTCTTCTACATTTTTTTCAGTGGTATCCAGGATGAAATCGACCAATTTTTCTTCAAACTTTTCATCATTATGTCTTACGAGTTCTTTAATCTAATCTTCATCAGTGTCACTTAATTTCATGTATTTTCGTTCAACTCTGGTGTCAAAATCTGCAGTGAGTAGCACGTTGATGTCATTGTTTTGTAGTATTAACGTGGTCGTGTCATTTCCGGATATGACATATTTTCCCATCTTGATGTTATGATTTAGAAGACCTAAGAACAGTTTTTTGTAAACTTTATCTTCATAAAGATCTAGGTTGATGTACGTGTAATTCAGGGCTTCTGCCAGTTTTTTCCTAGGGTTTTTTTTCCGGTACCATTTTTTCCCTTGATAATAATGTTCATTTTTATTTTTATTATTTATTATTTTATTTATTATTTTTTTGTTATTATTTTAATTACATTTCGTATTTATATAAATTTACTTTAAAAATGATAATTTTGATTTAAAAGTTTCTCTGTAATCGGCTACGGGTTGGAAAAATCATATATAAAAAACCTAAAATTTTTATCTGCTGAACGAAATAAACATGTAAAATTATGTTCTAAATGACAATTACATTTTAACCATAAATTAATTTTTGTACATATTTCTGCAATTTTAAAATAAGCAATTTTAACGAGAAAATTCGAAGAAGTGAGTTGGATTTCTAATCTATCATTGATATAAATGTTGATAATTATCAGTTCCCAAAAGTTGATTTCTTCGTTTTTTGTTAACATGTTGAGAAAATGTTTAGAGATTAATCTGTTGGGATTTATAACCTTCAAAAATTCGTATGAGAGAATGTCTCTATCTTTATTGATAATCAGTTTGTATTTTTTTTTTGATTTTCTCAAAAAAATACTGCTCGAAATGGTGTTTAAAGTATTGATTTATCAGTCTACACTTATCGATTAGTCTTTTTGGATAGTTAGATAAACACATCTTGATTATATCGTTATAGAGAATATTATTAAAAATAATCTCGTAGAGTTGTTCCATGATGATTTCAGTAATTCCGCATGTTCGGAGTTTTTCGATGGTTTCGTGATGCACTTTTCTTCTTTTCTGACGATGGTGTTTCGCTACTGAGTCTGATTTTCTTTTCATTTTTTTTACGTATTTCTTATTTCCTATCAGCTATTATTTAAGCTATTATTTATACGTTTGGTGAAATTACCAAATTTAGACTATCCACATTTGGTAATTTTTCAAAGTATTTCCGATTACTCTACATAATATTTACTAATGTAGACTGTCTACTTTAGGAAATTTTTACGATTTATTTGATGAAAATTTTACTTAAATTTTTTCAAAACCTGTCAATTTTTCCTATAAAAACGCGTGTTTTTCAACCAGTCTTCATAAAAAATTCATCTCAACTCTGAATAATATGCCTATTCAAAAATATTCTCCTCGCAAATATACAAAAATATTTCATGAACAAATCATTAAAAAAAACGATATTCTCTCTTCCAATATAAACTTTGGAAAAAGTTTCGTTCGCGTCTATCATCAAAACAAGGAATATGAAGAAATCCCTTTTGTTCGCTATTTTTGTTGCTGTTGTGGTTGTTCTTATGAGACTATGAGAGGTCTTTCTAGTAAACATCAGTGTAAAGAACCTTTGAAATTCAAACCAAAACTATAGAATAATGATGAACAACACTACAATAACGCGTGTCCTTTCTTCAAACGGCACAAGTACCAACAGT